CCAGGATTGGCATCATCATCGTGGTGTGACGGGTCCGGAAAGTGGATCTCAGGAGAGCCCTACAGGTTAGAATCGGAAGCCGAGCGGATCTTTAGTTACGCTACGGACTCCTGCGGACGAACAGCAGGCGATACGACACCCATAAGCCCAAAACGGCTTAGAGACGCTACAAAGGCATCCCAGAAACATGAAACGACCTTTCGAACATAACCGTACATCCCAAACTCCCCAAGCCGCCCGGAAAAAGCTGAGACAAAGGCCGACTCCAGAGCGAGCAGCTGCATGCCCTCCGCAGCGAGGCGGAGGCGTGTTCGGACATTGGGTTGTTGCGGCTTTGAGTCTCAAGGGGGGTTTAGGGTTCGATTACAATCAAAGTTCAATAGGGTTTAGTAATGTCTAGTAAAGGTATGGGTTTTAAGTTAAGGGTTCTTGAGTTTTTGAGGGGTTTAGAGTTTAGGGTTGGGAATGGATCAGGTAAGGATGCAGGCTTGGAATTGTTGTGCGCTTCTTCTTGCATGTATCATGAAAGTAAAACGAACTGACACACACACACAAACACACACACAAACACATGCATACACACATAAACTACGCAGACGAAGACTTTGCTAGCAGCCCAAGCGACAGCTGCTTTGCTACTGCTCTTTCCGCTGCCTCCCTCATTGCTCTTTGGGCTTCTGGCATGTAGGGCATTTGACATGAGCTTAGTGCGTCGCCTTCAATTTTTTTGACTGAGGGGATATATCGGGATTTTTAATTTAGGGAAGGCCTTGCTCCCAAAACACGCACTCGGCGGCTTGGAGGTACCTTACATTCCTAATTTGTAGAGCTTTGCTCTCTGCTTGCGCCGTCAGACCGGAAGCTGAGCACCGGTCTAGTTGTTACAGGATGTAGGTCGTGGATCTTGAAGTATCACAGAAGTGCCCATGCCAGAGCCTCCACACTCCGAGACTTAGGCCCTAGAGAGCTTCTGCTCCACTGCCGCGAAGTTTCAGGGACGTCTGTGTGAACTCTTCTGCCTGAAAGCACCGTTTATCCGGGCTCCAAAGCCTGAATTTTCTGATACCGGAAACCTCCGACTGCATGGCTGTTCTTGGGTGGGGAGGTTTGGGGTGGCTTCTGTTGGAGTTCCCCAGTCTGGAGAGTTCTGAGATGTTCTTCCTCACCAGGCCGGCAAAACACTTGTTGCAACAACTCATCATGCATTGGTGGAACAACTCCAACATCACTGCCAGCTGTTCTATCGTATCAGCTGCGCTTGCGCTCTGAGTTGATTGCATCAACACTGCAACTGCTGCCGACGGTGGCAGCAGTAGCATGGACTCAGCTACTCCCGTTGTTGCCTTTTCCTCAACGTCGTTGCCCCAGGACGGAGCTCGAAATCGAGAACCAAGAAGGCATGCCACAACAGCCGAGAGTTTCTAAGTCCATGCCTCACCGTCTCCTTGCCTCGACAATCCCACTTTGGCCTGGTCCCTCAGACGGAATCCGTCAACTCGTAGTCTTCAGGTCCCAAACATTCCAGTACTTTAAGCGCCAGGCCTTTCGAAGCGCTGAGCTTCGTGGGGAGGCTGCGGCAGACGAGGCGCAGCCAGCCAGGGCTTTCAAGATTGAGCCCGCCAGGCGGTGTCCAGGCGGTGTTATTGTCGCGAGGACACATGCACACGGATATTATTAGCTACATGTATATATATATATATATATACAGATATACACACACATTCTACATTCTACATATAGTTACATTAGAACATGTATAGATATGTGCGTGTGTGTGTGTGTGACAATCCGTCAAAACTTCCGTACTTGTAGTTCAAAGTGGGTGGTCGTGGAATGTCAGATTTGGCCAGAACCCTCGAAGAGAGATAGGACCTCCCCCCAAAGCGATACGATCAACGAGGATCATCGGTTGTGAGATTTCCGTGCTGCCGCGGCATTTGTGCCTGAATTTTCCGTGTGACGAATCGCCAGGCAATCGATACCCTAATCGATACACTCTAATCGATACTGGTACTTGCCAGATCGATTTGTGAGCCACTGCCCCACCTGAAAGACACCTCACGAAAAAAGTAGTGAGATCACTACCATCCAATACTATGACCAACAAAACTATTGCTACTTTGGCTTTACTACTCGTACTACTACGAACCAGAGTAAAGCGATAGCCCGCAAAATAAAAATGACCAGATCTTGGTACAGCGATAGGACGTCCCTCAATCATGCATGACCAGGCCTGAAAATAAAAAGTTTTGACAAACGCTCATATGTGTATGCGAATCATCAAGTTGGGAGCCACTTCTGCACGAAGTCGCTTCGTTGTGTACCAAAGCCATGCCTTCCCTAGGATGAGTAGTAATGGCCCACAGATGGATTCGGATCAAACTTTTCGATTCGGATACTGTGCAGCATGAGGTGTTGCCAAGACCCCCAAACAGAGGGGCACCGTGCAAGAGAGGTTAAACTTCTGCCGGTGTACATTCAGCACACAGTCCCTCCATGCATGAGCCGGCTTCGCAACGATACCGTTTTTCAATGTCGGTCCAAGAAGCTCCCAGAATCAGATCGTGGTCTGATGTATGCTGCTGATTCTTGACAAGACCAGACTGTCGAGCTTCAACGTAGTGGGTACGCCAGACACCTGTACTTGCGGATCTCAGTCTAAGAGTCTAAGGACAACCCAAGTTGCTAGGAGAGGGATTTCCTCCAGTGCCAGTGCCATGGCATCTGCGTTTGACCCCGTGCCGGAAGAACGGGACTTGCTGGCGCAGGACTTCCACGTCGAGTTTAGGAGTGAAGGGGTCAGATCCGGTTCAGGATTCAGAGCTGCTTAGTATTAGTATGAGCTCAATGACGACAAGTCAGCACCCAAGGAAAACTGGAAAGGAGCTCGGCCTATCCGGAAACAGCTCCGTTCGACTGAATGCGGCCTTCGTTTCCGAACATGTAGCGGCCCCCCGACCAGTCACACCTTTACATCCTAACTTAGCAGTGGGTATCACAGATCCGAAGGTTCTGGATCCGCTAGAACAGGGGAAAGTGTTGGCCGGGGTTTTGCCTACACGGACACCACCCGCGCGTTTCTTTGCCACCGCTGCTTAAGTTGTGTCATTCTGGTTACAGGGGAGTTTGTTGGTGTGTGGCTTTGATTTTTTTTGCTGGTGGTGGTGGTTTTGCGGCGGCTGCTGTTCCTGATGGAGCTTAGGTTCATGGCTGTTGCTTCGGCCTTAGTTGTCGGTTGTAGTGCTGGTGCTGCCACGACCATTATGCTGTTGTTGGTTGCCGCCGGCTATTGCCGCTACTGTTGCTCTTCCATGTCACTTGTGACACTTGTGGTTGGAATGCCTCTTATTCCTGCTCTTGCTGTTGCTGCCATTACAAATCTTGTTGGTCCGGTTACGAGTTCCTTGGTATGGTCTAGTCATTTAACCTATGTTTGGCACATGCCATCTCACATGGCAGACGTATTAAATTTATACACACATGCATGCACACATGCACACGCAAAAGCACATACGCACGCGCAGGTGGTTTGTGTCTGTGTGTCTGTGTGCCTGTGTGCGCGTGTGCATTTCACAGTTTGTTTTTGTGCGGGTGCATTTGTGTCATGACCGCTATGTGTGTGTGAGTGTGTATATATATACATATAGATACACATACAAATGTGTGTGTATGTTCAATTATATGACCATGGCCTTGCTTGTTTTTGTCTATATCCGCTTGCGGTACCCGCATGCAAAAACTGCATACATACATGGTCATCAGACGACATGTTTATATACATATATATATATATATATATATATATGTATGTGTGTACGCACGTTTGCGATGTCTGCCTGTCTGTCTGTCTGTATGTAAGTAAGTATGTATGTGTATGCATGTGTGTATGTACGAGACACGATTCCGATGTCTCTGGTGGGCAACATCCTCTGCGGTGAGGATATTCTGAGGTCTCTCTCTTTCTCTCTCTCTTGTGGTTGCCGCGCTCTCTCTCTCTCTCTCTCTCTCTCTCGCTCCTTGCTTCGCATTCTCTCTCTCTCTCTCTCTCTCTCTGTCTCTCCCTGTCTCTCTGTGTGTCTCTCTCTTTCTATCTTTCCTTGTAGCATTTGCCGCAACATGTGACCGGACTAGGTCTTCAGCCGGAAGTGTTGCATCTCGGCTTCTAGTTCCGAGCAACGACATTCAGGCCGTTCGATGCTTCGAACTAGCAGGCCTGCTATTTTCCTGAAACACGACGGCCTGTTGCTTTACCATCAACTGACACTCCAAACCTCACCAACCCGAGATAGTCTCTTATTCACATGAGCATGTTCCTGAGGCTGCCTTGTAGGAGCATCATGGGGCGCATTTTCCCGAACTGACCTGGACAAAGTAAGGCTAAGACATTATCCCACTTGCAACTACAGTATCCGGACGACGATGATTCCTTTTAGCTACGAATAGCGAGGATGCACTTCAGCGCCTCCTCGTCGGCTGCCTGGCACCGCAAAGCAGGGATAACATAATTGGGGGATTTAGTAAAGTCAAAGGGTATTTGTGTACATTATCCAGCTGTAGTCTATTTAGTGGTATACGTATAAAAAGAACTCCAAGCGGAAACACACACACACACACGCACACTATCTATCTATCTATCTATCTATCTATCTATCTATATCTGTGTGTATAGAAATATACACACACACATATTTTTTGTACACACATACCCACACATGCATATGGAATTTGCTTCGCAATGCATGATGGGTTTGCGTGTTCGAGGGCTCAAGGTATCCCAGGATGTCGGAGTTCAAGGGCAGAGGCCTTGAAGAATCTCTTAATTCGTGGTTGTGAAATTCCGAGTGGGGTTTGCAGCCAAGGACTTCATCGAGGGTGGCTTGGTAGTGTGTTCGTCGATGCTCCATCGTGGAATCTAGCTAATGCGTGCGAGTTGCAGCTAGGGCTTCCGAGTTTGAGTTGCGATCTCGCCACTAGACAAAAAGGCCGAATCAGGGACAAAGATGTGCGCAGAACCTCGCGAACTCGAAGTCCGAGGTGTCATGAAGGCAGAGTTTGCCGAGCAGAGGGATCTTCTCAATGGCTTCACCCAGCAGGTGTCAACCATGGTGCAGGACACTTCGTCCTTGTGGCGTTCCACATTCCCGCCTCTGATAGGCCATCCCAGTCTTCTTCCACTGAAGCCCGGATTTCGTGAGAACGTCCAGAAGTGTCCTGCAAACGTGCGAAGCGTCGTACCTAGCCCTAGATGATTGTGATTAGCATGTATCTTTGCTTGCATGTTGAGTAGGCGTATATGCTTGTGTGTTAGTTCCATGGCATGGACTTCTACAGTCTAAGCTCGCTGAAAGTACGCCAGCAGGTCTAACTTGAGCTATCTTTTCAGTCTGATTTCGAACAACACCAATCTACATGCAATCGAGCAGCAACCAGCCACGCTTGGACGCAGGAAGCTCTGCAGCGACCGGAAACGCCAATGCTGACGCCAACGCCGCTGCTGCCGATGCGGCAACCGGAAACCGCGGCATCTTCGTTCACTTTGCCGCAGTCTCTTTCACTATCAATGACTGCGCCACAGTCTCCACGGTCGCCAGCAACCCCTGACTCAGAGGCGCAGGCGAACTCCGCATGATGCCGTGACAGCTAGGTTCCATGCTCGAAACGGTTCCATTCCATGCATCGGACAGTGTATATAATACAGGTCTAGCATCCCGGGCACATCATCTACCATGCCGGCCTCGGTACCCTGATGTCCAGGATCAGAAGCAGCAGCCCAATTTCTTCAGGCAGCTGGTCACATTTGGCTTTGTTTTCGAGTTGGGCGATGCCTGTTCCTGCTCCTTTTCCTGCTCCGCTCCTGCTCCTGCTACCGCATGCTACCGCTGCAGCGTCCAGGGACAGTTTCTATGCTTTCGGATGCTGGCAATGGTATGGACGGGCACACGAAGACCTAGGATCTGTCCTCTTTGCATCCTTGCAACCCGAGCCATCAAACCACAGCTCTCCTTCTCCTCTGCAAGCCTGAAAGCTTCCACACAAAGAGGGCCCAAAGTTACTGATGCCGGAAACTTCGAACCCCAAATCCTGGAGCTCTCTACATCTTCGAAGCTGAAGTCAGCATCAGGTTCAGCACGGCTTCCAACATGGGTCCGGTCGACACGGAGCATGCAGGCCTGGGTCGAGACTTTTGCAGAGCGTTTTGGACTTCCGGGATGTTGCCTTGTCAAAACACTTAGTCTGGCGCCAGAACGGGCTGTGCGGCGCTTTTGTGATCCTGTATATGATCCGTTTACGTGGCAGTCCTTTGTGTGAGACTGCGCCGCATACGCCCTACGGTCCGACGATCTTTTCAGAGCTGCCGCCGCGTGGTCGACCGGCACTTTCGCTTGCCACCTTCCATTAAAATGCCACAGTTCTCATCAGCTTCGTGTCATGAGGTAGTCATTTAATTTCCGAAGGCATGGCGACACCAGGAACGGCAGATGCATCGAGACGGAACAGTATGGCGTCGAGACGGAACAGCACGGCATCCAGCAGCCATGCGCAGCTTGGACGGTGACAATCAAATGGATCAGGCCAGTAGGCAGGCCTCGAATTGCAGTGCACTTCCTGCACAGTCAAACAGAATGTCTGCAAACACGCACAACACAGACACACACACACACAGGCACATTGGGTACGACGACTTTAGCAGCACAAGCGACTGCTGCTTTGCTACTCCTGTTTGATTTGTGTGAAGCTTCACGTGCTTTGATCATACTCCCCGCTCAACTACCATGGACACTGGCAGATATGATCGGCTGCGGAGATGCGGAAAGCAAGTGCCCAGGTTTAAGCCTGGAGCCGCAAAGGAAGGCCCGGGGCGGAGTGCTCGCAGTTTCTGTTGATCGTCTGTCCAGGATTGTACGGTGTAGCAGCATAATGCACCTGTTTTGTTGGATTGTGTGTATGTCTCTCTCTCTCTCTCTCTGTTTATCCTGCTAGCTACCTATCAGTTCCTGCCAGTCGATCAGCTCTTTTACAGACCGCAAGTTATTCTATCAAGGCTCTTTCTCTCTCTCTCTCTCTCTCTCTCTCCTTTTCTCTCTCCCTCGCTCCCATCTGGAACATACCTGCGTAGCTACTTCTTTACGTCTTTCGATTTGCGAGTTTCCGAAACTTAGGGGGTACCTTTTTTTGGGTCCTTATTATAATGATCCTACTATTGAGGGTACCACATTAGGTCCCCTATTTTCGGAAGCTCCCATTTCAATCACCACTCATCGGGGCCAGAGACTGCAACAGTGGAAAGCATGTGGTATGTGTCTCTAGCGATGCATCAGCATGGAGTCCTGCTGGTTTACGATTGCTTGTGCGATTGCCACAGTATCCTCAAAATTCAGTTTAAACCAATTCACGATGCCCATGAAAACAGTCTTGCATTTCTCTGACCGGCTAGCAAGACCTTGAGAACCCCACGGTTTTGGAGCGTTGTTTCTTTCACAAGTTTTCCCTTGACTGCCAACTCAGAACGTCTGACAAGTGTGACTTTCTACTTCCGGTTTCGTGTTCCAGCGATTGGGTGTGTCTGCCTGCGTGAGCATGCGGCTTAGAAACATGACATTAATATGTAATGTGCATACAGTGTGTGTGTGTGTGTGTGTGCGTATGTTAACTTGTGTATGTGGGTGGACTTGCGCATCTTGGGCGCTTCTACGTCAGTCACGTGTAGCAGCCGATCAGGTGCGTTGGAAAGTCTCTGAGGTTCTCAGTAGCCTCTCCTTTAGGCCTTTAACGTTTGCGGGACTGGTGGCGCTCCCCATGAATTCCTGCCTCAGCCGAGCCCGCCACAGGTGAAGATGCAGACATGTCCGAGGGCGTCCGCCTGACTGCAAACAGACATGCCTCCATGTCCTCCTGTCGCAAGCGGTTGGGGTTTTCGAGCGTGCGTAGATGGCTTCCCGGAATCACATGCCCTAAACTTTCGATTGTCCATTGAACCTTGAGAGCTTCCAGCGAAACCTCTTATACCGACGGCCCCGGTACTCGTCTGGGCTTTTCTGTCCGCGCCGCCAGCAATCCAAGGATCGCCGGCAGAGCAAGGTGACGGCGAAGAAGCTGCAAAAAGGCCTTCCTGTCGTGTCGAGTTTTACTCTTGGGACTCTGCAGATCAATGTGTTAGCCATGGCTGTCCATCAAAGCGAGTGAATGTGTCAAGTCACTCATCTAGCAACATCAGCCATGCTTTGTCGGTTGAGTCACAGCGCTTTGAATCAGGCAAAGTGTCCGAAAAATTGCGGCTAGTTTTTAGCTTGTGCGAGTTGTACTTGCGGCCTTCAGTATTAAAAGGACGTACATTGGAAGGCAAGTATTCGCAAAAAGATACGACGGATGGTCAATGTCTACCTAAGCAACACAGTAGCCAAGTCACACATCAATATGGTTTTTCTGACTAACCGGCACCTTCATGTCCACTGGAATATACTGACAGGCTTACATGAGAGCAGGCATGCCAACAGCAAGATAGCACCGTAGGACGGGCATTAAAGACAGCCCAGTCTTATGATACAGTACTCCAACCTTCTGGCTGCAGCGCCAACCCAGATATCGACACTTTGCCAGCATGACATTGAGGTACAGTGCAGACTCAGATTTCCCGGCATAGGCCCAGAATGATGCGATTCACAGGACGGTAGCAAAGCGTTGTGTTTCCATTTTACAATGGTAGCAGGTTTTGTAGTACGCAGCAGCGCACTGTTCAGAATCAAAGCAGTTCACCCTTGTAGGAAGTTTGAAATTGTCCTGGAAGGCAGCACGAGAAGAGCACCAGAGAAGCCATATTGCCACCAAAGAACCCAAACGACCGAAGCCAGGCCATAGCAATACCTGGCTTGCTTTCGCAGCAGAATACGGTACCATAGCAGATTGATGAAAACTACAATGGCAAACTTTCGAAGCCACAACACACTGTGGACAAAGGAACTGGAAGTAGAAGAACCATGTCATGAATGCGACCATGCTGACAATACCTGTAATTAATATATCAAACATGTCTCTCCGTAGCAGACAGTTAGAGCTCATGATTTGGCGGGGCTTTTGGGTGAGAGAAGAAGTGGCAAGACACAGCACGGTCATGCTACTCACTTGTGCACACTATGCACTGAACTGCTCAAAGAAATCGGACAAGACAGTACCCCTCGTGCAGACCGGTCCACGACTATCAGCTCATTGAGGAGCACTGTCACGGCGACACAGTCTGATGCGGCTGCGGCTCGTCTTGTGTCTGTCAGCGTTGCTTTCATCGTGTTCGTAGCACGTTCGGGGGCTTCTGGTTCTGATGCTAGCAACTGTCAACTTACATGCTAGGGTTTAGGCTGGCCTCCGGCCTAGAGTCCCACAGTTGCGTCACTGGGTGGACTCCGCCCCCACCCACCCCGACTCCCCAGTGATGCACCACAGTCGAAACACCAGGCTCAAGTCAAAACTACAGCCTGTAGACCCTTCTGCGGCTCTGAAGTGCTCGCACATTTGTTTTTGAGCCTCTGCGCACGCTATATGTAAGCCCTGAGCCATCCTAAATCGATAGCCCTCCCAAGCTCAAGGACAAGGCTACCAGCTCCTGGGATTCTATTTATCTCCAGGGCAACTTCAAAGAGCAAAGGAAGAAGGCCGGTTGTGTGCTATCTTGTCTTATGTTTAGATTTTGTGGTTCGTCTGGTGTCAGGGCTTGGCTTCACAGGCTCTGGGAAGGGATGGATCGTCCGTCCACCACCTTGTTCAATCGTTCAAGCTGTTTTGCGACAGCCCAGACTGTCCGGCCAGGCCTACAGGCCCTGACTCCAATGCCCTTCGATGCATCGCCCCCCTGCTCACACTCACAGACACGTTGCATGTAGAGACCCACCCATGCACATTCCCGGACATCTCGCACGCACAGAGAGGGCATGGTGCGGAAGGCCGAAGCAGCTGCCAAGAAGCTCTCGACGATCAACTCTGAGCACGGCGTCTCGTTGAGCCCCAGCCGACTCAGCCGATGCTTGGTGTAAACTCACAAGCAATCATTTGAGTCAGGGTGGCAAGAAGTGAACACATACTCAGCACAGTCAGAATCAAGCTGTCCTCCTCCTACTATATAACTCCCTCCCTACGACAACGACTAGTCCTGCTGCTGGTATTACTTCCTCATGCTGCTGCTACTCTCATCTCACGACGACGACTACTACTACTCCTACTGCTACTACTGCTACCTCTTCTTCTCCCTCATGGTTAACATCCGTATTAGAAGTCAAGAGGCAGTAGTCATGTCACTAAGACACACTGCTCGGTCTGACTTTCATGTCATTTATGGTTAATGGCTGAATTTGCATAGCTACCATAGCCGGGAGTAGCCAGCATCGCTGCGCCTAAGCTTCCCAGGGCGCAGCAGTCAAGTCGTTGCGTTCGCAAATGGAAGGAAAATACACCGCTGGGCTTCGCCAAGGAGAGATGGACGGGGAGCCCAAGTCCATTGCCGAGCGGCTGGTGATGTCCACAGCTTTCAAGGCGCTGACTGCGGTTCCGTGTGGCTGTGAATATTATGGCCCTTCAAGGGTAAAGTATTCCGCATTTCCACGGTCACTATCCGTATCTCGCGCTCCAAGTGTACATTCCTTCACTGGCCGCGGCGGCAGACCATCCAGGTACACTGTTGTGCATTATGACCGGTCTAGTCTAGTCACTTGAACTATGAGGGAAATAGCAGTAGCGATGATCGTAGTACTGAGAACCGTGTCCACGTGCAATTGTATTTGTTTCGCATAGATGAATGTGCAGACACATGCAACCCCTATGTGCCAGGGTCTTGTGTTTCGGAAAACACTGGTGACACGACGCTCAGAGTGCCCGCACACGTTGTTCCCTTCGTGCTTAGTCTACGGTATGCTGAACATCAAAGGTGTGAAGGGTCACGCTGGCCCCGCTCGCTTCACTCGCAGGACTCAAGTAACTGCAATTGAGTTGATGATACAAAGTGTACCGCCTCGGCGACGTACCGGGGAACTGTCAGTAGCCTGGTGTGAAGTCGGTACGGCCGCGCAGGCACCACAAACCTAAAGAGTTGTGCTTCCGCAGTATCGTGTCACCTTCGGATGTCAAAATCGAAGCAGAGGAGTGGCAGCAGCACCTTCCTTTGCCCTATTCGGTATACCCCGACCCACTCCGATTATCCAACACCTACGATCTTTCCACGTGGATTGGTCAGGTGGGCATGCCACTAGTCATTTTCTTGAACCTCGTGCTTCTTGGAGTTGAGGCCGCAGCTGACTTTCCGATGGTGAGTTGGGTGCGTTAGGCGTAGAGCGAAGAATTGAAGCACTCAAGCTTTTTTAGTCCTGTGTGAGTGCTCCATCCTTGGCAGACTGTCCTTAGCCTCGGTAGACTGCTTGCACATGATGGAGTTGAAGAGCTGCAGTATCTAACTCAAGGACTGTCTGCAAGCAACTACCCAGATCGCTACATTTCCCCGCCGGAGGTGGATGTCAGTTCGCCGCTTCCTCCGGGGGAAGATCCGAGAGCGTTCTTCATCATGTGCTTTGGATGGTTCTCAGCGTTGTCATGCTGTGGGTCCGGCCGACCGTGTCCTTCTTTCTGCTTTGATGCCAAGACTACGAATTACGCATCAGCTGCATTTACACCTCCTGCAACATGATGCTTCCGATGAGGAATAGTGTGATTGTCGTCATCTTTGTTGTGGAGATCTTGTTGAAGCTTGTCGCCTACGGATGCCACTTGTCTTTGATGGGTGGGTTTTGGGTTTTGCGCAAAGGTCGACATGGTCGGAAGCTGCGGGTTGACCGTCTTGGGAAGCGCCCGAATTCCACCGTCCCGGGGTCCGAATCGAGAGCCATGTTGCTTGCATATCCCGGAAGGAGCTGCTTGCTGGAGTTGACAGAACGAGCATGCCTACGATTCAACTGATACAGAGACATACCACACTCGCAGAGACTCCTCCAAAGGTCGAGACTTCTTCTTCGGATCGGAGAAATTGCATCTTGGCATTCGCGGTGAGTTGATATGCTCAGAAGGCTGTGTGAACGGTGCACAGCCTGCAAAGCGAGTTTTTCGTCCTCGCACTCTTTCTAGGCCCTACCGGGTGGCTTTTCAGGAGTTTGCAATCCACCCTCCAACGGCCAGACATGTCGATGCCAATTAAATCCGGTGTTGTGCCATGGATCTGTGAACCGGTGCAGAAAACGCCGACTCCCGGAGTACTTGCGTTGCCGAGCTGTGAGCAGCAGCAACGGGAGTAGCCGTTCTTGCGTGGACAGTCGCAATAGTCTAACAGAGAGAGAGATCGCGAGTGTGCTACTCGTGCTGTAGCATTAACAGCCGTAGCACTCCCATACGATCGAGCAGACGCCTGTGATTCAGGATTCTCCACCTTACACATGCCAATGAAGTTCAGAAATACAGGCTTTGGGTTTCAGCATCATAGATGTTGTCCACTCGAGACGTTTCATCCACTGATGTTCTTTTTTGGGGGGGTATTCTGGCATCTTCTTCGTCGGCCCAGGTGGAACCTGTTCGACCTGTTCATAGTCGTGCTGTCAGTGTTCGAGATGTTGGCGGAGCTCCTATTGTCTGCCATGTGGCTTTGTTGGCATTCTGGACGACCTCGGGTGCACCTTCCCAGGTTGGATTCAAAAGGGTTGGGAATCTAATCGTTAGTATCATGTAGAGCCCTGAAACCTGGATAATGAACCTTCCAGTTATAACGCCCAGCTGAGAGGTTGAACAACAAAATTCGAGGAAAGGGAACTAAACCGTTTGGAATCCTGCGCGTTTCCTTGAAGGTGATGCTTGAGGATTTAGGGTTTCGGATTTAGGGCTTGCAGGCGCTACATACGGGCTTTCAGGGGTCAGGGTTCAGGCTTAAGAGGCAAGAGCTGACGGCTCTGACTCTGAAGGTTCCGGGTCAAGGACTGCAATTAAGAGGTTAAAATTCGGGGCATGAAGGGGGTTGGGTTTAGGATGATTTGTAGACTTGTTTTGCAAGCGCGAAATAGCAAAAGCATATGCCCAACATCAGGGTAGACGCGAGATGTTACAGCATGGGAATCCTGGCAACACATGGTGAAGGACGTGTTGGCCATTTTTTGTCTTCTGGCTTGTACTGTACTGGTAGCATCCACCCTATAATACCTAAACCTTAAATCCCTACCCTAGCAGGGAGGAAAAGGGTTAAAAGGGCCCTCAAAAAAAACAAAACCTTACCCTAAACTCCAAACCCTAGCCTGGATTGCCCCTGGCGTGGCGGCCGTTCTAAATGGTGGCCCGAGCTTGAAAGTTCGAGCTGCAAGGTACATCTAAGGCCCACGCATGGTTTGGAAAGCCTCATGTTGCCAAGCTGGCGTTTCTGAGTCCGGCTAGGTATAATGTAAGCTTTTAACGTGTGTGTGTGTGTGCGCGTGTTTGTCTGTGCTGTCTGGCTGGCTGGGTGGTTGGGTGGGTGGTTGGGTGGTTGGTTGGTTGGGTGGGTGGGTGGGTTTTTCATGGTTGGTGGGTTGGCGGGTTGGTTGGTTGGGTGGTTGGTTGGTTGGTTGGGTGGTTTTGTGGGTGGGTGAGAGGGTGGTTGGTTGGTTGGGTGGTGGGTCGGTGGATGGGTGGGTGGTTGGCTGGCGGGTTGGTTGGTGGTTGGATGCACGAGCTCTCACTCGTCGCTAGCACGCCTTGTTTCCTTGCCGTCGCTTGTGAGCAGAGGGCGCAGACGCAGATGGATCCAAGCCACTTGCGAATCATGCGCTGCTGGGTCGCAATCATGATCGCCAGAGCCCGTATATAAAAGTCGCAACGTTGGCTTTGCGTGCAGTTCCGGTTCACCAGGGGCTGGTCCAATCTGTTGAGGTTTAACGGGCGGAGTATTCAGAGTGTTGTGGTGCTAATGCTGCTAATGTGCAAGTCTTCCAGCATGGGCAGCAGGGTGAGCTCCGGGATGTTTGCATGGGTGCTACCTTCATAGCACTGGAATCACATATGAACCCTTCGCGTACTGGGATACTTGTAATGACGGTGCCAAAGCTCAGATCCGTTGCTCAACAGCCGAATCCACGTGGGCCCAGGCAGAGGCCCCAATTCCAAGCCCAGTCTGCAACCCAAGCCCGAGGCTGCACTACCTGATGCCCTAAACCCTGAACCCAGACTAAACCCGGAACCATCATGAACTCTGACAGGCTCCCAAGCTATCACAGCCGAGGCTTCCTCCGCCTTGTCCGCGCCTTGAGGGGCATCCGTGTGGTACGGCTCCTGCGGTGCCCGGGACGGCTTTGCATCGTTTCTGTAAGGAAGAATATACAACGCATAGGTCTTGAAGCTACGTTGAATAACTGCGCCGGAAGCACGAGGGACGCCGGTTGCCCGGAAATGCACAAGCAAACAAGTCTTTATCGGAGCCAAAACGACCGCATGGTTTTGGAGGTACATAGGTGCGCTGAGAACCATTGTCTTCTCCATCATCAGTACTCTGGGCTCCGTGTTCTGGACGTCCCTGTTGCTGGTGATCCTCTTCTACTTATTTGGCGTGCTGATCGCGCAAATCGCTACTTCGGCCAGAAAGATGCCCAGTATCGCACCGCTGAACACAAAGATGACAAGCTAAACCATGACAGCCACATGCAGCATGCGTCACAACGTGTCATTTCTGAGGCGTGTATTTGTTAAGTTGGTAGAAAATTAGAGCCGTGCTTGCTCCATGGTTTTCGGAATGAATGAGTTGACATGGGTCCAGCTCACGGGGACAGCAGTCGCTACCGACAGCCTCTTCTACATGTCCTTCGAGGGCTCTTGGTGCTTGTGTTTCTTGCTTTCAGCACTGTAGTCCTTCTAGGTCATCGTAGCAACCAGCGTCATGCTAAGGTCTCTTCACTTTCCTAAGATTCTAAGGTCACAGACCACTGCAGGCAGGTGAAGTTTCAACCCGATGCTTTGGACTGTGCCAATGAGGACGCGGACATTCCTTCCCATATGTGTGAGTGCCCTTGAGTCTATTTGTTCATTGCACAGAACCTCATCTACAAGACCATGTTCAAAATCATAGTTAAGAAGCAGTGTGTGTGCAGTGCGTGTACACATACATGCAATGTGTATCCAGAAATCTATTCATATGCAAAGACATGTCTGTGTGTCTCATTCTGTCTTTATCACTTACCACGTATGTGCTTTCATTGGATATAGATATAGAGGGACGTCTATGCACAGCAAGTGCATAGTTGCGCTGGCTGGGACACCCTAGTCCGGTGAACATACACATCTACATCCGATACAACCAGGCTTACGTACCACGGATGTATATTATATACAAATGGCAACGTTCTCTATGTGCGCCCAGCCGCTTGTCATGATGAAAAACTGCACAGTCACATCTCTACATATCTGGAATATATATATATATATATATATATATATATATATATGTATATATGGAGATACATACAGGCATCGTACATTCTCATAATTTAAATGGAGCGGTTTTACGGATAGCTGTATGCATACCGCTCCCAGAAGAGTAGCCCAATGATGCCACAGCAACCACCGCACCAGCGGCAACAACAACACCACCAGCAATCGTATTCTTTCGGACTAGTCCGAACAATACGACAACATCCAAGGACATGCAAAAGGACACCGATATCAACGCTACTAGCAATACAGGCAGCAGCACGCAACAGCAGCAGCAGCGGATATGACGAGGCAGAAACTGTAAGCAATCGCAGCAACAGCAGCAGGACACCAGCTAAAAACAGAAACAAGACTACTCAATGGTAGCAGCTGCATCATCAACGTCCACCATGATAGCAGCAGGACCAACCCACAACCGCAGAGACGATAGTCTCTTTAGCAGCACCAACGGCCGAACACCAGCACCAGCAGCACCAAGAACAGCAGCAGCAGCAGGAGCAGGGCATGACCCTAAAACGTTACCGGGTTGCGTAGCCAGAAAGCGACGACAACAGCAGCAACAACAGCAACAACAACGACCACAAGAAACTGTCACACAAGGTTTTCTCTGAATGCTGAATATCGGATGAACAACTTTACGGGCCACTGCAAGGACAACACAACTGGGCAAACCGGTCAAAAGTAAGATAGGCCACCGCATTTGCAACAGCAAGAAGAGCGAGCACCACAAGCAACGCTGATTGCAACCGTACCAGCACCAACGGCAGTAGTAACCACGTACACAGGCTCCCTTGTACTGCATAGATATGTTGCGCTTGATACATCCATCCGGTGCTCTGCGGCTCTATGCATCCCGAGCGCTGCCATGAAGGCAGTCGACATGGCAGGAGGTGTTCGGCAAGCTCCTGACCTACTGGTCCAGCGTGCCTGAGAGCATGCTGACGTGCCCAAACAGCAATTTGAGCCCTTTTTGGGGTACTATGAATCCCAATACACTCCCACAGGTTAACCTTTAGTTTTTTTAGGTCTGGACAAGTACGTAAGTGACCAGGCCGTAATACGAGTGTGCCATCTCAAACGTTTCCTTTGCAATCTTCTTCGTTACATCATCACTGTCATCACCGGCAGTGGTTGATCTAGAATCTGTAACCTGGATGTTGTTGTCGTCGTTGTATGTATGTCTCTCCCTCTATATATATATATATATATATTTATATCAATATATTAATATATATATATATATATACTGTATATAATCCCAATATACTCCCAAGAGTTAACTTTATGGAGCCAGTCCTCTGCAAGGCTTCTCATGGCCATCACCGGCGGCCTGAGCTGGAATGATGCCCTGATGCCTCTGCGGTCCGTCTCGGAGATTGCAACTCGTTTGTAACATATGTTTAATTTGAGTGTGTGATGACGAACATGAGTGCCTTGCAGAGGTTACAGTGGCGGTTTCAGTAATTTCAGCTAGCGGGTAGACAAAGCCGGTGGTTTCTTTGAGACATTTTGTATGGCTTCCGTCTTCCTACGGCTGTCTAAAGTGCCCCGCCATCCGACTTCAGCAGTAGTGCTTGGCGCTTCTCCAGGGGCTTGTTTACTTTCTAACCGAGTACTGACGGTCCCCCTTCCATAGTCTCAGTTTCCTTTAGCTCTTGGGCTCTTGGGTTAGACTGATTGGTCAGTATAGCCCTCGGCACTTGGAACTTGTCGATCGGCACTGCTTCTGTAGGCCGTTCATTTCAGGTCGCCTGTTCGAGACAACTTTGAGGACCATATACACTTTTGGCACAGGCCCACAACAGCTGCACTTGCAACCGGCCGCAGCCACAAGCCCTGCTTGAAGCAAAAACCCGAATAACACTCCCACTGTCCGCCTGTCGTTTAACCCTTAGCGCTTGCCCTGCAACCCTTCAGGCTGTGACTGGCTTGCTCCTGTACATCGTGATAACCGTGCTAGCCGTTTTAAACGTTGCGGCAGCCTTAGCGAGGGTTTCGCTGCATGAAGGCATTGGTTTCCGACTGTCGAGCAACATCGCGGCCCATCAGATTCGCAGTTTTGTGCTTTGCTCGCAGACGTGTAGAGATGGACTTTGGGCTTGCACTGGTTCTGCGATTCTTCTTGCTTTTCCGATTCTCGCTCAAGGGGGCCATCATAGCTGCTGCTCTTGGTGCGAATTGTTACCTTTGATTGGTGATTTGAGCTGCTTTGGGGAAGGCTTTCAAAGCAGAGGCTCGCGACTGGTTGAGCCGGTTCGAAGGATTCGTGAGGTAAATCGTAGTAGCATGGTTTTGTGATGTTGCCGCATGACCAAGTTTCAACGGTCGTCTTTTACGGTTGCTCTTCGCAGTTGTCGTGCTGTTACGAATTCGCGTCTATGCGCTGCTGGCACCTGAGCACTGCTACTGTCTTGGCAAGTTTTGTCCTGTGCTTCCGTTAAACGGCAACATGCTGCACACACCGTGCTGTGTGGTGCCTTTGCGCTTGCATTCACACCATACCTAGCTTGGAAAAAGCAGCAATCAAATTCCTGACAGTATGCTGCGGGATTTTTTGCCGTCTTTCGTTCCTCTTCTGCACCTCATTCGGGGGCTACAGCATGGCATTTGGTCGGCTGTCACTCCCCCATGCAACCCAGCCCTTCCCCTCAAAAGGGGTTGGGTTGACATCGCTGCAAGCCCAAGATTGGTAATTTTATTAAACGCCCCCCCCACCCCAATAGAAACTCTGATTTTTTTGTGGTTAGGTGGTATTCTTCATCTTTATTGTCACTGTTGAGGGCTCTTGCTCTTGCTACGTCTGTTGCTCTCGCTCCTGCACCTGCTCTTGCTCCTGCTGTTTCTCCTGCTCTTCCTCCTGCTTTTGCTCTTGCTGTTGCTTTTGCTCTTACTCCAGCTCTAGCTCTTGCCGTTGCTCTTGCTCCGGACCCCCGCTAATGTAAATTAGGGGTTAGAGGGGCAGGGATATGCAGGGATGACTTCGGGAGGATTGGCCCCGAAGTTTTTTTTTTTAAAGGGGGGTGTTTAATAAATGGGGAAAAGGATTATGCGTGCTGCAGAAAAGCGGTCCTGTATGAAAGATGGGAGAAGTAGTAACTCGTGTTCCCACACCCGTCTTAAGTTAGTGTTAACTCCGGCGTTTTATCATCTTGGTCCTTTGGCACTCCTGGCTTTAGGGTTTGTACAGTAGCAAGTGTTGATGCTGGCATCAACCTTGTGCAGTGTCCGCTGGGTCGCCACTCATTTTGCAAGCTGTTTCTGGTTATAAATTTGCAAAGGTGCAGTTCCGGTGTTATTCTTGCGCAAATGGTTCCCCATCTGCAGCTTCGGTTCCACCATGGGCCAGGCGTCAAACACGTTTTTGTTGCGGAACAGCCGCTCGGCCCAGCAGCCCCGGCTCCGGCCCCAGCCCTGCCCAGGCAGTTTACTCAGGTTTTGGAAAATTCTGGATGGAGGATGCTCAAGGACGTTCAGGCTCCCATGCGACCTGAAGGCACTGGATTTTTACCGTGGCCGATCTCGCACAAACGGCATAATAATGGTGACGCCGTCACTGCTCAGGGCGCCAACAAGGACATAAAACTCGAAGTTGAGGAGACTCAGCCTGACCCGCCCACTCATGGACTCTGCCAAGCGAGCAGCTGAAGCAACCTCTGCAAATGGATCCCGCCTCCTAGTGCCAAGGTCACCAGTGCTGCTGAGGCTCAGTTTGGGCCTCAGGAGCAGCGGGGCCGGACCACTGGTCGGGTCTTCCGGTGCATTGTCTACTTTTCGTCTCTTAGCGCTACAACGGGAAGTCGGAAGTGCAGGGTGTCTGCCCCGAACAGCTGACACACTCTCGTCAAGTCAACCTTCCCAAAAACGCTAAGGTCCTCAACTCTCATGTTGATGTTAGTGATGTGCAGCCTATCGCCGTGATGAGTATCTTCTGGAGAGTTTGGGGCTCTGCCTGGATGCAAACGCTGAGCATCAAGTACTGGCTTAGCAACAATTAGCACTCTTACAGAGAGTGCGCCATTTTCTGCCACGGAGTGCTTCGAAGCTTATGCCGCTGATGGGCTTGCCTCTTCACTCGATTTCACAAAGTGTTACGAGCTCATGCGAACAGGGGGATTCCCGGAGGGGTTGTGCAGGCTTTGTCAAGCCGTTTGGTGCAATCAAAGGAGATGGCTGGAAGGGGGTGGACATGTCGCCCAGCATCCTGTCCAGAGTGGTAATGCCACCGCTCAAGGATGTTTCTTTGGGCCCCTCAGTTTTCTTCTTCGGATGGGTTCCGGCCTTAGGGCCGCAGCAGACATGCCTGGCCCTGAGAGACTCAGCGGTCTGATCCGCGTGTACATGGATGACAGAACTGCACAGCCAGAAGTGCCGAGCACTTGGTGCACAGAGTTCGCTTTTGGCAGTCGTGGTCAAGCAGGCCAACGCTCTGACTCGTCTGGCCGCTCTCACAGAGCGGGGTCGGGAGGCTCTCAGAGCCCTTTGGCCGCAGCCTGAGCAAGTGGCCGCGTCACGGCCTCCGGTTGCTGACATGCCCCCTCCTAAGCAAGAAGCCCGGTTGCAGGCTGCTAAAACGGTGGTCGCCGTCCTGGATAACCTTCGCTTATGCTTCGAGCGTTTTCACTCTTCCGATAGGACGTATGTGGCCCATTTTCCTACGGCTAAGGTTTGCTGGAACCAGTTGACAGTTTCACGCACGGGGCAACGTAGCCTTAAACGTGCCAATCGGCACATCGGGGCTATCCTCTTCGGAGGCACGTCCCACCTGGACTGTCTTGCAGTGCTCGGACTGTGTTTGTGCTGAGGCCTGCTCAGGCACGTTGCTGTTCAGGAGCTTCTGTTGGCTCGCTGAGGTACAGCTGGGCCCTTGTGGCTCGCAGCTGCCAGTACTTCTCCCATTCGACTTCGGCAGGCGAGACTCTCGACCACAAGCCCCTTCATCTTGCAGTACACGTACTTGGTGTCCGTCAAGTCAAAGTTCATCATCATCCTCGATAGGTTCCTCAAAAAGCCTGCGGTGCATGCTACTACTCAACATGTGGGCGATGTGGGCACCGACGCCGACTCGTTGTTGCTTGGTGCCTTGCAAAGATTGCTTGAGCTGAGCGGACTCATAATAATCTCCATCTTTCAATGGCCCCTCGTTGGGATGCCAACGAGACGGCAAATATGGCTGGAAGCAAGCCAGCACTTCGGGCTGCTGTTAACGGGCTTTGGCAAATACCGTGTGGTGACATGCTAATCACGGATATCGGCAGTTTTCAGCGAAGCTTTTTTATGTACTTCTAACAATCCAGCCAATACAGGTTCCACGCATTTTTTACGCCTAGCCCCAGAGTGGAACCGAAGCAGCAAACGCAAAACCATTTCAGCAATAAGGACACCGGATTTGCACCTTTGCAAATGAAACCAGAAACAGGTTGTAGAGTGAGTGGCGACCCAGTGAACATTGCACAAGGTTGATTCCAGCATCAAGGTGCCGAAACAGTTGTTCATGGCAATCTACCAAACAACCCTCAAGCCACGGGTGCCGAAGGACCAACTTGATGAAAAGTCGGAGTTAACCATAACTTACGGCGGGTGTGGGAGCACGTGTGAAACTACTTCTCCCATCCATCCTTCGAGCAAAATTATCTGTGAGAAAGTCGGGATTCTTGGCTGGGTTGCCTTTCTGGAGTCATTGTGTACATGAGTAGCCAAGTGCTGCCACAGGCTTTCCCGCTTGCTTCCGGTTTCGTTTTGTTCTCATGTTAAACGGTCGCCCTTCTTTCTCTATAAGCTTCACAATGGTGTCCTGCCCATGTGGGGGTTGTCGGCCCCAGAACAAAGTTAGTTAGTTAGCCAGCAGTTTTCAAGTCATAGAGGCCGTTAGCTTGCTTTGATAACGTAAACGATTGTTTTCCTACCCACCCAGGCTCCTCCGTGTCTGGTGTGCGTAAGTAGAGGCCGTTTGTTGGGTGTCGCTATGAAGGGCTCGCAGAGGTGTCCCGTTCATTTTGGGGCTGTCGGCACCAGACTAAACTTAGTCGTCGTCGGCTCCGGCTTGTTCGTGGTTGGCGACGGGGGCGTGCAGGTGACGTTCAAGGGTTCCTGCACGACAACTACGGAAAGCCGTTTTTCAGGTCACTGGTGTCTTCTGTAATATGGCAATCGAGTCTGCGCGGGCCGACAAGGACTTGGGCTTGTGGTGTTCGATATCTGACAAGCACCTGGTGCTTATTGTTGCAGGACATTGCCATCATGCAGCAAATCCACAAACATGAGGCGGCCCCGGGTCAAGCCTCGTATAGCTGCTTTTTTGAAGACGTGATCTCGAGCGGTGCGCAAACACCTGACATTGTTTTGGAGCCGAATGTTGTGGCTGGATAGCAACCTACAGATAGCGTACTTGCATGG